TCAACTGACTTTATCTCGTTGACATCATTATGCTGTACGAATGTGTTCCGTACTCGAGTCATCCTGGGTATGTATGATCTCAGATGGAGTGATGTTCTGGAGAAGGGTACAGCCAGAGTGAAGTTGCTGCTTTCTGCCCGTCTTGTGGCATAAAAGCTTTTTCACAGCTGTCCTCGAAGTGGATCCAAGTGTGGTATTTTGACAATATTGGCCTTGTACATAACAGTAAGGCCACCCACATCCATCCTATGTTGAAGGCTCTGCTGAAATGACAGATCTATCCAGGATGGGTCCAGGCGAGAGATGAGACGTCTTGCTCTGTTCTCTACTCTGTCAAGCAGTCACAGATGAGAGGGGGGGCAGGTAAACCAAGAAAGTGGAGCATACTCAAGGTGTGAGCGTACTTGTGCTCGTACAGGATCTTGCAACCCCTACTGTCAAGCAGATGCAGATACGGCGAAGTGCTGTAAGCTTCCTGGCTGCCTTGTTTGCAAGATTTACAACATGGTTCTTCATGGTTAGTTTTGGAGTCAAATTTCACCCCAAGGATATCAACTTCTTCTCCAGGTGCCAACATCCTCCCATTCATCCTTACTACTGCACCAGCATTACCATCATGGTGCCTAGAGACGAACATCATTTGCGTTTTCTCAGGTGCAAATGTTACTTGCCATCTATTTCCCCAAGCTGATATAGCTCTCAGCTGGTGATTGATGTAGCTTAGAGCAGCTGGCATTTCTTCTCTTGGATAAGTGAATGCCAGTGTACAGTCGTCTGCATATGCATGTGATTCTGGGATGAGATGAAGAAGGTCGTTGAAGTAGACATTCCATAACAATGGACCCAGCACGCTTCCTTGTGGAACACTTGCCCCAATAGGATGCCTCTCTCTCTCTCTCTCTCTCTCTCTCTCTCTCTCTCTCTCTCTCTCTCTCTCTCTCTCTCTTCTTCTCTCTCTCTCTCTCTCTCTCTCTCTCTCTCTCTCTCTCTCTCTCTCTCTCTCTCTCTCTCTCTCTCTCTCTCTCTCTCTCTCTCTCTCTCTCTCTCTCTCTATCTATCTATCTCTCTCTCTTCTCTCTCTCCTCTCTCTCTCTCTCTCTCTCTCTCCTCTCTCTCCTCTCTTCTCTCTCTCCTCTCTCTCTCTCCTCTCTCTCTATCTATCTATCTATCTATCTATCTATCTATCTATCTTTACTCTGTGTCTCATTTCATGTTGGTTTCACATTTTCCTTACATGTTTATCTCACTATCATCACTTATACCCCAAAAATCTCGCACTATTGTCAAAATTTCCCTCTCCCTTCCTTCCTTCCTTCCTTCCTTCCTTCCTTCCTTCCTTCCTTCATTCATTCATTCATTCATTCATTCATTCATTCATTCATTCATTCATTCATTCATTCATTTATTCCTTCATTCCTTAATCTCCCATCCGCTTTCTCCTTTTCTTCATTCTTCCATTTAACCATCAATCGTTTCCTTCATTCCTACAACCCTCAAAAATTCGTAACTCATTCCCCGCTTTCTTCTTGCTGTCTCCTTTCCTCCCTCCCTCCCTCCCTTCCATCTCTTCTCCCCCTCTTTCTTTCCCCCTCCTCTTTCTCTCTCTCTCTCTCTCTCGTTCCTTCCCTCCCTCACTCTCTTCCTTTGTATATTCGTCTACCCTCGGCTCAGCAAGGGAGACAGAGCACCAATACTCCTGAAGTCGTCCGCTGAAATATGAGACATCAATCTCAGGAAGATTGTCTTATCTCTTTGTCCCAGAGATAACTCCATAGCAAGCCGATTATGTGCCAAAAGTCATCAATTTTTCCTAAAACAGAATGCGCTTGCTTTAAGACTGAGGAGAGAGAGAGAGAGAGAGAGAGAGAGAGAGAGAGAGAGAGAGAGAGAGAGAGAGAGAGAGATCTGCGACTGCTTGACAGAGTAGAGAACAGAGCAAGACGTCTCATCTCTCGCCTGGACCCATCCTGAATAGATCTATCATTTCAGCAGAGCCTTCAACATAGGAGGGATGTGGGTGGCCTTACTGTTATGTACAAGGCCAATATTGTCAAAATACCACACTTGGATCCACTTCGAGGACAGCATGAAACAAGCTTTTATGCCACAAGACGGGCAGAAAGCAGCAACTTCACTCTGGCTGTACCCTTCTCCAGAACATCACTCCATCTGAGATCATACATACCCAGGATGACTCGAGTATGGAACACATTCGTACAGCATAATGATGTCAACGAGATAAAGTCAGTTGATCAAATGAAAATGCTGGCCCACAGATGGCTCCAACTTCATCCTGTTCCCTACTTGTATGTCTCATAACAATAAAAATGCTTTCAAATGAGCTGATGTAGATAACAGCTCTTAGCTTGCTAATAAAGTTAGGAATCCTTAACCTGTAAATAGCTGTCAATAAAGCAAGGGATCCTTAACCTTGTCAAACCCTGTGTAAAAAAAAAAAAAAAAAAAAAAAAAAAAAAAAAAAAAAAAAAAAAAAAAAAAAGAAAGAGAGAGAGAGAGAGTGGTTCTATGTTAACAACGCATGGAACCATTGAAGTCTTGCAGTATAATTAAACAAATTAGTAGATTTACATTTCCCTGCCAGTCACGGCGAATTAAAGGCTCCCGGCACTGATAGAAATCAGGTTAATTAGACAAAACAAAGAAATAAAACACGGAAATGAGATCTGTGGCTAACGGAATATTCTGTTAAATATGACCCCCGTTTAAGATTAAACAAATTGAGTGTGGATGTTCGAGACAGCGAAGTACACGCTGAGACCCTGACCACCTCGTCAGTGTGATGTATTGGTCGGTGGCTCGCTTATAACCTGTTTTGTGTGAGGAAGATGAATGGGCACCCGTGGAAGAGATTGCAGCAGGGAGAGAGGGAAGGAGGAAGGGTGGGGGGAAAGGTGGAGGGAGGTAGGGAGCGGAAAGAGGGAAGAAGGAAATGAGGAATGGTGGGAACTGAGAGGGAGAAAGTAAGGGAGAAAGAGAGAGAGAGGGAGATAAGGAAGGCTGCCTGGATGGGTAAGAAGAAACATAGAGGGTGAGTGTGTGGGTGAGAGAGGAAAAGCCAGGATTGGAAAAAAAGAAAGATAATAGGGAAGAGAGAGAGAGAGATAGAAAGGAAGAGAGTGTGCCCAAAGGAAAGAGTGAAATGCTAGGGAAAGAAAA